GTGCTTTTCGATAAGATTGCCGATTATAAAGGGAGAGACAAAACCAAACAATGCCACAGAAAAGCAAAGAATCGAGCTGATTTTATTGGTCAGTTTGATATATTTTTCACCAAATACAAAATACGTCGACCACATGGCGCTGAATCCTAGACCTGATCACACAAAAAAACACTTATTATAAATATTTAATAGTATAAAAAATTATTATTATTAAATAACTATAAGATGATTAATAAATAATGAATGTTAAATTGATTTTTAAACAAAATAAATTAATCAAGCATGATAAAAACAAGTATAATATACGAACCAATACAAACACTGCCGATCCACATAAATGTGACCGATTGTTGACCAAAATACAAAAAACCAAAAGCAACGCATATAATAGCCAAATGATAAGTTAGCATAATTTCCGGTTGCAATTTACTGGATATAAAGGCCGACACCAATCGGCCGACAATCGAGGCCGCAGTGGTAGCCATCATAAAGTCTGTGGCCCTTTGGGCCGACATATGGATCGGTATGTATTGAAAATAATTGACCGCGTTTATTGAATAGCACACTTGACACGCGGCGAAAAAACTAAAACTCAATGTTAGTAAAATAATTAACATGATCCTAATTTTGGACGATCCACTTGTGACAAGTTTGTTATCCATTGACCCGTTTTGCGTGACTTTTGCTGCGATTGTGTCCACTGTATTGTCGACGACATCCGGATCTGTCTCTTGTGTCCCAATTTCGGGCACTTTATATCTCTTCACGACAAACATTATTAACAATATAATAGGTCCTAAATAACAAAATATTAATATTTTTGCTATATTTATCATTTAATTTATACTAGACCAATTTCTCTAAATACAATAACAGTTTAATTTGACAGTTTAACACGCCTAAGATATGCATAGTGTAATAATACCACAATGATGACTAAAAATATAATTTAAATAAGCCTGGCTTATAAATTATTGTAATTACCTAATATAGCGATAGCACCGGCGATCAGGAACGGGGTCTGGAGTTTCGCTCGCCTATCAATCGAGTAGTTTATATCCTCAACACTGATATCAGTAGTCGTTTGAAACACTGATCCCATAGTTGTGGTCGACGTGTGGGAGATATCACCGGTTAAATAGGGTCTGACCAGTAGTGGGCCGAATACAGAGCCCAGACTGTACAGCATTTGAGACAATTGTAGCACAGGTGGGCTTTTGTCGGCCCACATCTCTATAAGCCACACGGCTTGGCTACTTTCAAACACACCGCAACCTATCAAGGCCAAAAAATAGCACCCGTATAGCATCCATATATGGGGGCAAAACGGTATGATTGCAATAAATATTGACATTATAGTAGTCGCTATAATAAATGCCAACTGTCTGTTTATGTATTTAAATAGGAATCCGGCTTTAAATTCAACATGATGATATAATATTTACCATGATTACAAAAGTGAGTTATAAGTATATTTATTGAATTAATTTTTTATAACTTACATAATGAGCCCAACAAATACCCAGCTGAACCAAATGGCGTGGCGTACGATATGCTGGCCTGAGTGGTGTGAAACATGTACTTCATATCGACACTAGTCGGCGGCCACATTGCCATCAGTAAACCCTAGGTAACAATTTATTAATTTTATTGTAATTTTAGCTAATTAATTTGACATTATTTATAAATTATATTTACACAGTTTAAATAGGTTTGAAGTACGCAAAATGTGTACACATATTTATCCCAGTTTTTAACCATGGCTTTCAATACATGGTGATTGTTGTCATTAATAGGTTTGCTCATAATTTCAGTTATTTGTGACAATTTATACTAACATTAATATAAGACACATTTAATTTTGTAAAACTAAAAATGTAAAATGTTTTTCACAAATTTTTTTTACATTGATCATATAATAATATTTTAATAATATCACATATTACTATTTTTATATTACTGAATTGTTTAAAAATAACTGTAATATTGTTTTTGATATAAGTTATAATATAATGATATTTATTTAATCATTTTAAACATACTTCAGATTAGAAGTGGTGGCATTAACAATTGTGGTACATTTAATATGTCTATTATCAAAGTATGCACCGTACATTCTACACACGAGCATGTTTATATTAGAAATTTAAATATTAAGACTAATTATTTGCGCAATTGCAAATTAATAATGTACACATATTTATTTCATTATGTAGTTTTAATAATATTTTTGGTTAATATGCAATTAATTTATAAATCATTGTAGTAAATATATTGCAATCATTGAAATGTGTTTTACATAAATTTTTAACTATTTATTACTCGTATTTGCGAAATGTTTTCTACACAATATCTTTGATAACAACATGTTTTTAAAATGAACAAGATCCTGTGTTCATGGAATAAAATCTCACAATATAACAATTGTATACTAAATAAATTTATATTACAGACACAATTGATAATAATTATAATTAATTATATGGAAATATTGCAATATTTATGCAATATCTGACAATATTGTGAGCAAAACAATATCATTATCAAAATATTCAAGTTTTTCAATCACTATTCTACAGTAAATACAATAGGGATAACTCCACTAGGGACAATTCAAAAGTGTTTGTTGATACCCAATTCTGTATACTGCAACATTACAACACACTGTAAATTAAGTTGAAATCATTTACACTATTACAATATTTAGGTGTTAATTTTATAAAATGTTTATTTATATTAAATTAAAAATACAAAAATTATTTAATTAATTTGTAATGTATACTAAAATATTGTATTTTTAAATTGTGATCGGGGATAAACGGGGTTGTTACATACAACAAATTAAAATATATTAGTAATTTAACAAGTTTATTGTTTATATTTTATTTGTAATGATTTTCTGGCCGTAAAATACAAGATAACAAAGAAAAATATAGCGCATCCCAAGTATAACATCTCGAGGTATAGGAAAACCTCGGCATGTCTTTCGATAAGATTCCCGATTATAAAGGGAGAGACAAAAGTGAGTACAGCTGTTGAAAAGCAAAGCACCGAGGTGATTTTATTGGTCAGCTTGATATATTTTTCACCAAATACAAAAAACGTCGACCACATGGCGCTGAATCCTATGCCTAATTAAAAATAAATAGTGATTACTATGTAATCGTTATTAAATTTGAGTAAAATTGCTAATATAAAATTCACAATAATAATAAATTCGCATTAAATATTAAATTAAACAACTAGGTAACTTTAAATAATACATAATTCACCCACCAATACACACACTGCCGATCCACATAAATGTCACCGATTTCTGGCCAAAATATAATAGACCAAAAGCAACGGAAATGATAACCAAATGATAAGTTAGCATAATTTCCGGCCGTAATTTGCTTGATATATAGGTAGATATGAGTCGGGCCACAGTCGAGGCCGCAGTGGTAGCCATCATAAAATCTGTGGCCGCCTGTGAGGACATATGGATCGGTATGTATTGAAAATAATTCACCACGTTACTCGCGTAGCACCCTTCCAACCCGATGTAAAAACATAGACTTATTGCCAGCAAAATAATTAACAAGATCTTTATTTTTGGCAATTTGTTGCTTATTATTTGCCCATTATTTGTAAGACTATTATCCATATCTTTCTTATCGATACGCTCTGTATTGTCAACGACATCCGGATCTGCTTCTTGTGTCACAACTTCTGGTACTTTATATCTCTTTATAACAAACATTATTAGCAATACAATTGGTCCTAAAAATAAAATAAAATGCACAGAATATTATACAAAAATATTGTTATTAAATTTATAAACTACTAGCCAAATTTTAATAAAATATAGTTTTCTATTTGAAGTGCCTAGAGAAGTATAATGATAACTTATAGGGATTCAATATCCCTAATATTAAATCTATATCATAAAATAATTCATGTTTAATCCCACTGGGTGGGGGGAAGGTAACCTAACAATTCTACAAACCATATTTTTCAAAAATAGATTAAGGTTAAAAATAAAATAATGACACTAATAATTAAATAATAATAATTACCTAAAATACCGATCGCAGCGGCGATCATGAAAGGGGTCCTGAGTTTTGCTCGCCTATCAATCGAGTAGTTTATATCATCAACACTGCTATCAGTAGTCGTTTGAAACACTGATCCCATAGTTGTGGTCGACGTGTGGGAGATATCACCGGTTAAATAGGGTCTGACAAGTAGTGGGCCTAATATACCGCCCAAACCGTACAACATATACGACAACTGTAGCACAGGTGGGTTATTATCGCCCCACATCTCTATAACCCATACGGCCTGGCTACTTTCAAAAATAGCCGCACCCATCCAGGCCAAAAAGTGACTCCCATATAACATCCATATATGGGTGCAAAAGGGAGCGGTTGCAAAAAATATTGCCATACAAGCTGTTCCAATAATTAATACCAACTGTCTGTTTATGTATGTATATAGGAATCCGGCTATGAATTGTACATGTTAAATATAATTTAATAATTTAAAAGAGTTATTTATTTTTATACCGTATAATTTATACTACCATGACTTACATAAGGAACCAACCAAATAGCCGACTGATCCAAATGGGGAGGCGTATGATATGCCGGCCTGATTGGTGTGGAATATGTATTTTAAATCGACCGCCACCGGTGAGGCCAGTGCCATCTCTAAGCCCTTGGTGAATCAAAAGTAAATTGTTAGAATTAAAATTTGATTAAATTACACTAGCCATTTATATTATTTACAAAGTTGAAATAGATTTGAAGAATACAGAAAGTGTACACATATTTATCCCAATTTTTACAAATATTATTTAGTCTATTGTTATTATTGTCAGTTTTTTCCACGTGGTTATCAACAATAATTGTGGTCATTTTATTTGAAAACTTTGTAATAATTTAAAACTTAATTTATAAAGTTTATATTAACTTTTTAGAACTTTAGTATTATTCTATAATATACTAAACAGTAGTTTCATTAGTTTATATTGAGATGGATTTGTTTTTTAAGTATATTGACATTTAATTGATCAACATTAATCAATATAAACACTCTTGAATAAAGCCAAGGATAATACCAATCTTTTTAACATCAATTAAGCCCATTATCACCAAGATTTTTATGTTGGTTTACTGTAATTTTTGGTACATTAATGCAACTTCGTTCTAAAGAATCTAGATATTATCTAGCATAATTATTATTAAAAAATATAACAATTTCAGTTTTTATTATAATTTACTATAATAAAACTTTAAATTATTGAATGCTCAATTCATAATTATAGATAAATAAACAAAATAATTAGTTTTTATTTGGAAATGCATGACAATTTAATTTTAGTTTATCATAAATTAATTTTACGTTAATCAATAAACACAAAAAATAAATTAACTTGTTAATTACAACGGGTTTTATTAAAAGAGACTATTTAAATCAAATAAACCGAAATATTTTGAGCATGTTATAATTTGAGTCTAGGTCATTTAACAAATTCATTGTTTATGTTTTATTTGTAGTGATTTTCTGGCTGTGAAATATAGGACAACAAACAAAAATATAGTGATACCCAAGTATGACATCTCGAGGTACAGGAAAACTTCGGGATGTTTTTCAATACTATTCCCTATAATAAAGGGAGAGACAAAACCAAACAATGCGGCCGAAAAGCAGAGCACCGAGGTGATTTTATTGGTCAGTTTGATATACTTTTCACCAAACACAAAATACGTCGACCAAATGGCGCTCATTCCTAGTCCTAATAAATAATTAAAAACATAAATATAAGTTATTGTGATATAAAAATTATCATGTTTAAATTAAAATAAAATATCTATAAAATACTAAATAAACAATAAATTAAACCACCATGTCAAATGCTAAACCTAGTCACAAGAAAAATGAAAAATTTATTATTTGTAAATTGAAATGTAAGTTTAAAAATAAAATTATAAAATTGAATTAAATTATTAAGTTAAACTTTCTATTAAAAAACTAAAAATAATTGTTAGTATTAGTAATAAGTATTAATTAATTAGTATTAATTACTAATTATTATTAGAAATCAATAATGAACAATTAATAAAATTAATGCACCCACCAATACACACACTCCCGATCCACATAAATATCACCGACTTCTGACCAAAATATAAAAATCCAAACGACACGAACAAAATACCCAAGTGGTAAGTTAGCATGATTTCGGGGCCCAATTTGCTTGAGATATAGGTAGATACGAGTCGGGCCACAGTCGAGGCCCCTGTGGTGGCCATAGTTAAATCGGTGGCTCTCTGTGCCGACATATGGATAGGTATGTATTGAAAATAATTGACCGCGTTTATTGAATAGCACACTTCGCACGCGGTGTAAAAACTTAGACTCATTGCCAGTAATATTATGATCAATATCTTTATTTTTGACAATTTATTATTGCTTATTATCCGCGGATTATCTGCGAGACAATTGTCCGACACTTTCTTTTCAATGTTATCCACTGTATTGTCGACGACATCCGGATCTGCTTCTTGTGTCACAATTTCTGGCACTTTATATCTCTTTACGACAAACATTATTAGCAATAAAATTGGGCCTAAAAACAAAATACAACTTTTCATGATAAAAGCAAATATTATTTTTTGCATACATGTAACTTAATAGATTAAATAGGTTAAGCTACTATACTAATTTTAGTGTTATTATATTTAAATGATTAATACAGTAGTATGTTAATTTAAAAATTATATTTTAAACTAGCTATAAATAAATAAGCATGGCAAAAACAAATTAATCATTACCTAAAATACCAATTGCACCGCCGATCATAAAAGGGGTCCTGAGTTTTGCTCGCCTATCAATCGAGTAGTTTATATCCTCAACACTGATATCAGTAGTCGTTTGAAACACTGATCCCATAGTTGTGGTCGACGTGTGGGAGATATCACCGGTTAAATAGGGTCTGACTATTAATGGGCCTAATATACCGCCCAAACCGTACAACATATACGACAACTGTAGCACCGGTGCGCTGTTGTCGGCCCACAGCTCTATAGCCCACACTGTATTACTACTTTCCCAAACACCGGCGCCCACCCAGGCCAAAACGTGGCACCCGTATAGCAGCCATAAATGGGTACAAAACGGGGCCATCGCAGCAAATATTGCCATAATAGTGGTACCAATAATTAATACCAACTGTCTGTTTATGTATTTATATAAGAAACCGGCTGAAAAATTAACATATGAACATTATTTAATTATTACAATAATTAAGTTACACTAGGTAATTGTTTTGTTATGACATACCTAGTGAACCGACCAAATACCCGGATGATCCAAATGGCGAGGCGTACGATATGCCGGCCTGAGTTGTGTGAAACATGTACTTCATATCAACTCCAACCGGCGGCCACATTCCCATCAACAAACCCTAGATGAAATTATTGTTTCATAATTAATTGCTTATTTTTTATGATTTAATTAGCAATTTTTGTAAATTAAAAAAAGTTCAAAAATATATTTACATAGTTCAAATAGTTTTGAAGTATACAAAAAGTATACACATATTTATCCCAATTTCTAATCATATTATTTAATTTACTGTAATAGTTATCAAAATGTTCAATTGTCAATTGTTGTTATTGTCATATTAATTTATCAAGATTTATAAATTTATATTTTATTAAAATTTTAATTTTATTATTAATTCAAATCTTTTTAAATGAGTTATGCATTTATTTTCAATATTTTATATTTGATAAATTTGTTTTATAAATATATTGACATTTAATTGCTTTATTATTAATTGCATTATTAATGATTATAAACATACTCAAATAAGGCTTAATGTATTAACAATTTATCTACATCAATTAAACCCATTATTGACAAGTAACCACATTCTTTTCACATACAATACTTTTTTGGTTTGGTTTATAAATAAGTTTTAATTGGTTTTACATAACATTATTGTAATAAGTTTTATCACATTTTAGTTGCATCTTACATACATGTATAATAATTTAAATGCAAAAATATTCATACGACATTATAATTTAGTCTGTAATTAATCTCAAATTTCAACCATGGGGTTGTTTAGTTTAATCATATATCGACTTAACTTGTAATTAATCCTAGTAGATAAGAAGACAAAATAATTACTTCTAATTTACCCATATCCAATTTTATAGTGATTTAGTACCCATTATTAGTACATTTAAGATTTTAGATGCATCAATGCTATTTAATTGTATGGGATTTAGATGTGCATCAAGGAAGATTAACATTAAGGGCGATTCACATATTACGTTTGCACAGCGAGGAGGGGATGTTTGTCTGTGGAATTCAAGGATTAATATTTATTAAAGGTGTGAAATGTTAGGAATATGGTAATTTAATTTTTAAAAATGAGTAGATGCAGAGTATTGCGAACATAAGCGGGAGCTTGTTTAGATTATTTAACAAGTGCGAATGTAATATGTGAATCACTCCTTGCAAATTAAATATTTCTATCATAATCGTTGATTATTATCATTCCAGGAACATTTACCATAGTTATCATTAAGTCTTAATGGATAGATGTCACAGATGTGCACGCGTGCACAAAGGTTCTTATTTTATAATCCACCTAGGCACAAACTATCAAAAAAATTATCAATAAATATTGACGTATAAAATTAGGGGATGGATAATAATTTATACAGAATATGGATGTAACTTTATTTATGTTTTAATGACTTAAATTGTTATACAGTGAATTATATTAAATGCAAAGGGTCTGTAAATTAATTTTAAAATATTTACTTGAGTTAATTGTGTTTATGATCATTATTTAATAACAAGTGATGAATATTTAATAATTTTTTATTTCTTTAATTATAAAAATTTTTTACATTCAAAAATTATTTTAATTAGTCTATATTATATGCCATTTAATAAAATACAACTAAATTATAAGTAATAATATTATAAATTAGTATTTTTATCAGTTATTGTATAGCATTCGGGATATCTTTGAGATCTCTTAATAATAATCATTAAAATGATAAATAATGCCACAGTATTAGCAAGGTAGGCCATTTCTAGGTATAGAAAAACATCGGGGTGATGCTCAATTAATGGCCCTATCACAAATGGCGACACCAGATTGAATATGCTTGACATGAAAGCAAATATCGAGGTGATTTTGTTGTCCAACTTTACACAATTCTCGCCCAACACCCAATAGGATGACCACATGGCACTGAATGAAAAACCTGTTTATAAGTGAGATATTATGAAAATTAAAAATATTATTAAATATACATTTAATATATTGTTAAATATTGTAATCACTTTTCCACTTTTCTTGGTAAAAAATTCATAAAGTGATACTTACATTTAAATAATTATTTATTTACAGTTTACTAATAAAAATAACTACATGATTTATACGATTCTACATTAAATGTGCATATTAATAGGGGTGGCATTACCAATAGTTGGTTTTGATTACCATGCACAAATAATTAACATCACAAATAATTAACATCACAAATAATAATAACAATAAATACACTACCGATAAGTCCATTGCCGACCCAAATGGCAATCTCTGAGCGTTTGCCAAAATGCAAAACACACATCGATATAATCAATAACACCGAGTGATAGGTTATGATAGTTTCGGGCTTTAATTTGAGCGAGATGAATGATGAAACCAACCTGCCCACAGTATACGCCGAGGTCATCAAGGTCATTAAATCGGCCGCAGTTTGGGCCGATATATGAATGGGCAGGTATTGAAAATAAGTGCTGCCGTTATTGAAGTAAGTCATCTCAAAACCCGAGTACGAGTTCAAACTCAACGCTATTAACGCTACGATAATTATTTTAACCTTTCGGGTCGGCTGTAAAAACCCGGCTGAGTTTTCCTCCCCCTTTGACTCCATTGATTGATTTACTACTTGTTTATCACCGCTGGAATCGCTCGAGTCTTTAGCGTATAGTTCTGGCACTTTGTATTTCTTGAATATATACATTATGGTAAATATAATCGGAACTGTAACATAATAATAAACAATTATATTATATAAGTTTGATCAATTTTAATTATATATATTGGATTCCTAAAGAATGCGTTGTTTTTTTATTGTAAACATAACCAAATGAAAACTCTATAAACCAAAACAAGCAAGCAAGTTTATTTAAAAACTAATTAAAATTTTTAAATTTAATTAAAATTAAACATTTTAATTACTTATCAAGGTAATTCCGCCGGCAATCATATAGGGCATCATAAGATCTGGGCGCCTGTCCAGGGCATAATTGACCTCATCGTCATGAGCTGTTCGATGATGGTGATCCGTAGAGTTAGATATATCACCACGCAAAAATGGCCTAGCCAATATGGGGGCTAATATACTGCCTAAACCAAACATCATTTGACACAACATGATAATCATCGGACTGTTATGTTTCCACATCTCGATAATCCATACGGCGTTACTGCTATCAAAACCGCCGCAACCGATCGAGTTTAAAAACATTGCTAAATACAGTAGGTATGTGTTGGGACACACGGGCATCAACGCGGTAAATACGCCCAACATCGCGGTCATTACGATCAGGGTTAGTTGCCGGTTAATGTATTTGTATAGGAAGCCAACTGTAATAAATTTAAATATGATGTTTTAAATTTGTTCTAGTTTGCTAATTTAAAATTAATGGCCGAGAATAAAACCGAGAATATAATTAATAATAATTTTGTATTTAGTAAATTAAATTTAATACATGTAGATTTTCAAATATATTATTTAAAAACAGCTTGTAGCTTGTTTTGACAAACCTAAAGACCCTGTTAAATAGCCTAAACTGGCCATCATGTTGACAATCTGAATGCTGGACATCGATGCCTGAAACGCGTACATCATATCGACAGTTGTTGGTGCGAACAAACTGTTGCACAAGCCCTATACCAAAACCAAATTATTATTAACCTAACTCGTTTTCATACAAAATGTAAATCACGACAAAACTAAACTTACATAAAAGGTGTACATAATTAATATGGATATAGTGTACACATATTTATCCCATTTTTTGAGCACATTTTTTAATAAACCACTTTTACTCTCGTTTTCACCGCAATTATCGCCAATATTTTCATTACAATTATTATCAAGTTTTTTAATATAAAGTTTCTCGGCATTTGTCAAACTAGTAATGGTTGAACTTCTTATATTTCTATAATAATAACTTAATTCATCTCGCTTGCCCATATTTTACAAATGTAAAAATAAAAAACAATTTTAACTTGTCAATATAATCCAGAAGTAAAACCACTATTAAAATATAATTTGTAGTTTATATTTGAGACTAATTATAGATAAGACTTATGTCTATGATATACAAATATGTAAGTAAATAAATCTAGCCCATTGTTGTGTTGTGAAATGCATACCCATTATATTGTCATTATGTAATTTCAAGACTAAGCTCAATAAGCCAGCTAGATCAATGTGTTCGTGCCGCTATTTTAGTGCATTTGATTGCTTGATATTCATTAATGGGAAAACCAAGAATCAAAATTAAAACTACTTTGTACAAAATAATATATCATTGCTTATTTGTAATTTTTCATGAAGGTTTAGTTTCCACATAAAATAATATTCAATTGTTTTAAAATAAAAACCATAGTAATTTTTAGAAGCAAGATACTTTTAAAGTTTTTTATTACAGGTATTTTATTCGTTTAAATTTCTATACAAACATGTACTAAATATTGCAATTATTCTTATTATTCTTGTTGGTATCAATTATTCTTACATTTTTGTTTCTATATAAATATTTACATGTTTATAATTTGTAACATTTACTAGCTTAAATTTCTTGCCAACCCCTCCAACCCCGGTGTACTAACTGTCCTTAAACCCGTCTGCCAAACAGGTTTAATGTACCTCATTAAAATGATTGTGGTAGCATTTTTGTTAACTTATTATTTCAAGTAGGTTCTCATAGAATACCACACAAAACATATACAGTAAAATCACTTTATAAGACAATGATGGGCGAATAAATATGCTAACCGTATATACATATGTATTTTATATGTTTTATAATCTAGATGCTTTAAAAAATGTAATAGTGTACTACATAATCAATTTCATATAGTCGTGTATAATAAACACCGAAATATAATAATTATTGTTTTATAACAATAGGATTAAAAAGCATATCAATTATAATATGTATAACTATTGATATGAACAAAATACAGTGTGTACAAAAATGTTCAACTCAAATTGGTCGTCGAGTAAAATCCTGAAATACGTGTCAAGTTAATTCAAGTAATTTACTTTATTAATCTGAGATTAAAATTCAAATCATGTTTGTACTTTATGAATTATAGAAGGTTCTTCAGTTGTTATTTCCACAAAATATTGCAATTTTACAACAAAGTCATCATTATACATAAACTAGCCACAGAAGAATAATTTTGCTTGAAGATTATTAAAGTGAACATAAAATAAGTTGACACGTATTTCAGGATTTCACTTGAAAACTAGTTTGAATTTAACATTATGTCTATGCAGAAAATGTCAATATTTTATGTTTTTTGACATTGGCTTCGATATAAGAAGTCAACCATATTGTCCATATCATAACAAAAACTCCCGCAGTTGACAAATAATTTGATATATTATTTGAATTTTTAAACCGAATACTTTTCGAAATATTCGAGTTTACTTTTGTTAGGTCCATTTTTGTACACACTGTACAGTACATTAAAAAATGTATAAGTACATTATATTTCTTAGAATATTAATCATTATTATTATTATTGATTTACCAATACCATGTTTCAAAGTACTAAATATTTTAGATTAAAAACCAGTTATAAAATAATCCGGCTACTTATAATGTCTGACAATAAAGTCACACGCATAGCTTTTAACTGATTTGATAAAATGTACAAGTAACAATGCTTTTTATTTGTTATTATAATGTTATTTATTTAAGTAAGTACAAAAT